GATTTTAGTGGGCTATAGCCCATGCATTTTGTACAAAAATGGGCTATTTTGGAGGTAACATACTCATGGATTTGGTCAAAAATGGGTCATTTTCAGCGATTTTAGTGGGCTATAGCCCATGCATTTTGTACAAAAATGGGCTATTTTGGAGGTAACATACTCATGGATATGGTCAAAAATGGGTCATTTTGAGCGATTTTGGTGGGCTATAGCCTATGTATTTTGGTCAACAATGGGTCATTTTTGTGGATTTATGTGGGCTATAGCCCGCGTCTCGTTGATTTTCATTGACACAGGGTTTGTAGTATTTTTATTGTCTCAAATCCATGACTTTGAATGAAGGTTTATATCACGTTTAATGAGTAAAATACAGACGAATGGCTGTCAGAACGTTATGTATGTCAGCCTTTAAAAGGGACCAATTTGGAAGTATTTTATTGATCAGGAGAGATTTCAATTGTTTAACATTTTCAATGACTTTCCATGACCCTAGACAAAATCTCATGACTTTCTAGACCTGGAAAATAAAATACGAAATTCCAGGACTTTCCAGGACGTTTCATTTTATTGTCTTCAGAATATATTTCTGCACAGTGGACAGGTAGAGTTGTTACTAGTGTTAAACCATCGGTAAAGACAGATATTATGGAACCTCTTTTTACAAGTTCTACAGCTGAGTTTTGGCAGGGAGTAGTTTGATGCGTGGATGACTGAGAAACATATCATACAGTCTTCAACTCCTTCAAAGTGTTTGTCTGCATTCTGTTTCCAGAGGACAAGACCGTCCATAATCGAGCCATTCTGAATCAAAAATAAAGAGATTTAGTAGTCTTCATTTTCTGCTTGCGGGATACCTGTGGTATTCAAGTGTCTTCTGTCGCGGTCACATGAGAAAGACAGGAAGCCCATCAAAAGGAAGAAAAGGATAGTTGGATAGTACGCTACTAGGTTTGACGTAAATATCACATAAAAACTCGGTTAACTTCATTAAAATTAATAAGGTGTTAACCCAAAAGGTTTGCTACTTCAGTTATGTGATTGACTTATAATACTGATGTTTTATTCATAAGTGCTGTATGGGATACCTGATGAGTGAGAAATGTTGTTAGTTGCAGAATCCAACTCCTCCATTGTGATGTTGTTACTCCGACTTTCTTACCACTATCGACTGTCACTACCCCTAGTGGGTGGTTATTTGGCAGCTTCACTACAAGTTCCATTGACAGATCATCAACAGTGTAGACAGCTGCGACCTCGCCAGCTACGGGCCGAGCTTTGACGTGCATGTTAGAGAACTGAAGAGAGGAGTTCTTGACCTGTGTCATTTCACGTTGGCATAGTGATGGTGTGACGGAGGATGAGGTGTATCTATGACAACAGCATACAAACATTACTACTTGAGTATGAATCAGTCGAATCAATAAACAAAAGTAAACATTAAAATCAAGAGATTTTAGCCAATCACAAGATGAGTTCTAAGGAGGTTTGACGTACTTGTCCACCATATTAGCATATTTCTTTTCTAGTCTATTGAACCACTGACGAACCATTGCTGGCATCCAATGAAGAACGCTGTAGTATAGACTACGTCCCAGGTTCTGTGCTAGATTCTCGGTGACATCGTCTTTGACTGACAACTCAAATCCTTCAGTGACTGCTGTAGGACCATCCAGCGGTATTATACGAAAGAGCACGCTCATAAGCTTATCTATGAATTTATTTTTCCTCAAGAATAGAGCATATTCTGGTCTGGTTTGGACGTTGGTTTGTTGAAAGAATATAATCAGCAATCGACATGACATGAATAATGCGAAGCTGTCAGTCAGGGATTCATGGTCACTAGCAAGGCAGAGTCGAGTACCAAAGGGGACAGATGCATCATCTAATAAGGACACCATATGACTTAGTGCAGTGTCGATAACTTGCATTAACTCTACAGGCGGAGACCTAGAAATAATAAATCACGCAGTCAAAATGGTTTGTTGTCAAATCAAGTGAAGGGGAATGAAAAGGATGAGGGAAGATTTTAGGGAAAAAGAATAGATGGGATGAATTGACATGGAAAAGAAGGAAATGGTTGTTAATGGTTGAGAAGGAAAGGAAAAGCATGGGAAAGAAAAACAGAAAGGGGTCTGATGAAGCAAATGTTGGAAGGAGAGAAAAAGAGGAAGGGAGGAAGAAACAAAGAAGATGAAAAAAGTAAATAAGAAAAAGAGAAATGGGAGATAAGCAAGAAACAAAATCTCTAGCATACCTTTGGATTTCATTCTCTTCATCGCGATTCTCTTTACGAGTATGACAAGAAGCAAGTACTGGCATAACCCTGTGAACATAATGCTGTTACTCAACACTGCTCACAATGAAACACACAGTCAAATACAAGACTGACCCTGTGAACATAGCGCTGTTACTCAACACTGCTCACAATGAAATACAGTCAAATACAAGACTGACCTTGCAAGTAACAAGTAAGCTGTAATCTTCAATGGGTAAACACTGCTACTGACCACCGGTAGAGTGTAATGTAAAACATCTTGAGCCCACTGTGGTAAAGCATCATCTTCAGCAGTTGTATGTGTGAATTCATAGTTCTCCAGTACACTGATTGGTAAATATGTCATAGCTAGACCCAGGCTCTCACAGGTTGACACAAATGGCAGCGAAGAATTGCTTTTGGATGACATTTCTAAAATAAAACAATATACATATGCATTTTGTGTGAATAAATGGATGAATGAAAAGTGAATGAGTGAATAGATGAATGTCTAGAACGATTGAAAGTAAGATGAACATTGTGTGAAATTAGGCTAATTAACTGTAAGTTGCAGTGAGAGATTAACAGTGCTTAAATAAATAAATGAACTCTACAATGAAGAAATGAAACAATGATACAATGAAGGGGTTATAAGGTACCTGCTGCGCTTAGAAACATAGAGATAACACAGTTGTACAGATTGATGCTGAAAAACTCTTGCCATTCACCAATCAAAGTTGATGGTGAACCATCTTGGTTGCTTTCATCATTTTCAATGCTGTCTGATTTTTCTTGCGCTGGTTCTTGTTGAGGTTGCTCTGGGAGATCTTGAAAGTGCTTTGAAACAACTGTCAACACCTTGAAGGAAGAAGAAGACAATGATAACATTTTCCTGGAAAAGCTTGACCAATAAAAAATAATAAGATGAGGCTAATGGTCTTGGTTTAAATGGAGATTAGAAATTTCTTTTGACTAAACCATTCATTGAAATACCTTGAATGTTTGCTGACAGAGATTGTTTGTCACAATGGATGAGGCGATGGATGTAAAGTTTTCCTCGCAGGTCTGCAAAAAATGCAAAACCAAATCATGATTATAAGGCATTAAGTGCTTAATACTTCAACAAAAACCTTGGACGAACTTATCCAGTATGGATAGCATTAATTGTCCTAATTTCACACAAGAAACTTGAGTTTTTCTTTACAAACTTACAGTATAACTAATAACATTTTACCTGCAGCCAGCCAGCAATGCCACACAGAATAAAGTCCCAATGACTGGAAGTCAACATGTTGGGTGTGTCTTGAACAGCAAGTTTGATTATGTTTAAAATAGCAATGTTGATGGTCAACTAAGTCAGAAAGCAAATTAAAAGAGTGTGAACTACAGACTGTAAAAAACAATAGCATAAGAATAACTTTAGCAGTACTTAGTGGTTTTTATGTGTAATGTATAATTATAGATTCCATTATAACACAAACCTCTGCAGCAGTGACATCATTCAACGTGGCATTCAACAGTAATATTCTGTCATGTTTATTCTTCCATTCCATTAAACCATCCAGTGTTTCAATTAGTGTTAATTGATACTCCATCTTAGCTTCTTCACTAGTATTGGTGAGCTTTGACCATGTTGATAACGATTCCGATACCAGTGGAATAACACAGGAATACTCTACAAACAACAGAAATGATGATCACTTCAGACAAACAGATGCAGATGTAGAGACAGACACCATCAATGATTCATTATCACCAATATCATCATAAATATTTAATCCATCATAATCATCACCATCATTGCCTGTGTTACAAATAAGTTATCAAAGATCAATTTTTACCTTCTGCAGAAAGCTCTTGTTCAAAGTATTTGTTCCCATGTTCAGTAATCACTTTAACGTCGTAGATACTTCCCACGTAAGGTAAAAGACATGTAACACTTTGTATTATTGCCTCACGATTCCCGTCAGATCTCAATGAGCTTGTTGCATAGTCAAATACTGTCCCATTCAACTCTGTCAGAACGGCACTCAAGTCGAAGTCAACATTTCTATGGCCTAGTTGTTGGATAACACCAGTAAAAACAACAGTCCAAAGCAAGCCTTTTGTCTTGGAAATCATGAGACTTTCTTGAAACAGAAGAGCTAGGATTTGTCTTTCCTCTAAAACACTTTGTAATTCCAGCAAAGTTCTTGATAAAAGTTCAGAAATATTATGAATTTTAGGCAGTTGCTGTATGAATGCAGATGATTTCTGTTGATAATAAAATGATATCATACGGTAAAACAATTAATTCCTCATTTATTCCATCTATCAATTCTTCTTTCGTTTTTTCCACTTGTTCATTCATTCATTTCTCATTCATCCCTTCATCTTTCATTCATCTAACCATTCATTCATTTATTCTATCAATCTATATACCTACCTGAGTATTATTGACATTTCTACATCCCAAGACACACAGACACCAGACATGTATCCATGCCGCCTCCAAGTACAACCTGACAAGAACATCATCACTGACTGTAACAGCTGTCAGTCCTTCATGACCTGTTAAAACAGTCTTAGTTACAAGAACGACAAGCATGACAACCTTTTGGTGCATGTCCAATACATCAGCAACTATCTGAATTTCTGGCATTTGACTCAAGATTGGCATTGATGAACACAGATGTGAGCCAAGCCAACTTCCCTGGAATGGAAACAAAAATAGTTCAAACATCCATTAGTTAGTTCATAACTCATACCCAGTACTCACTGTGTTGCTTTTCTCTCTCCACTCTGTGCATTGAGTGGGGTCTGGTAACAAACCATGGTAAATCTTATGGGCATAAAGTGTAGACAAACTGTCCTCTGTTGACAGGTTGCTGGCTGCTTTTAGTAGTTGAACTGCAGAACCACTCAAACTTAAAACTCTAGAAATAAAGAGTTTAACATTATTTTAATAGTCTCCATGTCACTGTTCAATAAAAAGAGTCTTAGTATGATTACCACAAAGAATATAATATCTTAAGGCCGATTTAGACAGTACAACTTTTGCCTACAACTATCGCATGTGCAACATGCTGAAGTCTGCTTACAACTGCTTACAACTGTAGATTACAAAACAATTTTTTGATAATCTTACAACAGTTGTAACCATGTTATAATTATAATTATGTTTGAATTTAATCTTATGTTTAATGTACCTATCAACTGGTTGTGCAGACTTGAGTTGTTCATTGATAATTCCTGATGTTCTTACAAGAACGACATTACATTTTGAACTTTGCATGCTGACAGCTTGTAGTCCAGTTTGCCAAGTTTCTAAAACTGTAAGTAAATCAAGTGTTTTAAAGCTGGCATAAGTTATATAAACATGGAGTCAAAGAAAACAAACCTTGTTCACATAAAATGGGTTCAGACAGCTGAATAAGAAACAATGAAAGAAGAATATCTTCACAGTGAAAACTCAGGTCATCAGGCTGAAATACAATCAAAGACAATCAAAACACGATGTTTGAGGCTGTAACAATCAATATATATGAAATTTTCTAGTTCAATGGCATCAAAAGTTTTGTGGAACAAGGTACCATTTGAATAGTCTGAACTGGCAAAGTTCTTGATATAAGTTTAGAAAGAATATGTATTGTATAAAATGTCAAAGTTTAAAGATTTTTACTAACATTTGTTCTACACCATTCAAAATAGCCATGTAAAACACCAAGAATTCTTGACAGATGCTTGTTGTTCTTGCTGCGCAGCATTTCAACAGTGTTTTCCATGATGATATCCAAGCATGACATGCTAACGAGAGGACCTGGAAAATGGCATCAAGTAGGGTCAAACTGAATGTCAAAGACAAACTATGAAAACCAAGAAGAGCCAACAGTCAATATTATATATATACAATTCCATTACTCTTTCAAACTGTTTTACCAGTTTTTTGATCAGCAACACATAGCTTTATTATCCCCCAGAAAGACTCTTCATGTAAGTCACTGTCATCACATCTTGCAACTCTCAGCAACTTTTGCACTTTCTCGGAACCTGATTGGCTTGCCAGCCAAGTGGACATTCCAGATATTGATAGGTGTATTCCCTGGTAATGTTGAAAATGTGGACCTCAATGAAAATTTAGTTAAATAAGAACATTATTGACACAATCCCTTGTCCAATGTCTTTAACAAGGGTCAATTGAGACAGATTTTGCTAACATGTTCCAGTACCTTAAGAGTTCAAAATGCACCTTTTATTCACTCCATTAAAATATTGATAAGAAATCCATGTCACACAATATCTTACCTTCTGTAGTAGAGTATACATAAACTCTGTACTGTTATTTGTCTGGTTGGAGACAAAAAATTATTATTAAAAAAAGGATTATGAATGAATAGAAGAACATAATAGTCATAAACTAAACACTCAACTCAACCAATGTCCTTCCATTCCATAATATAGTTTAGAAATAAGACTTTCCTTCACAGTTCCCTCTTCTTGAAAGATAGTCTTTCCTTTGCATTAAAAGAGAGTCAACATCCTTCACATGTTGATTGCATTCTCATCTGTTGTCTCACTTCAATGTAAAGTTTGATTACATCTTTAAAGATGCCACAGGGAAATGTGAAGGAGACTATTTGAAAGCGATTGATGAGTATCAACATTACCTCTAACACTTTGCTTAAGGTAACTATTTGTGATTCCAATGAGTAGCATTTCAAAACACCAAATAATACATCCATAACGCAAGACAACTCCTTGGTTTCATCACTATACTCTGCCAGCCATGGATTTACAACTAAGGAGAGTAGCTCATCACAAAGTTCGACAAACGTTTGTTCATTCTCTGAATTCTTCTCTAACAAAACTTGTAAAAGTTTATTAGAAATAAAATGAGGAAAAAGTGAAGAAAACAGCTTGAAATAAAGAGATGATTTACTCAATAACTTCTTCATGCAAAGTTGACAAACATTACAAGCGATTTCCAATAACTGGCCTCCATACAAGTCCCCAATCTTTATGTCAGAAGAAGTCCGACCTATTGGCTGGATTTCAGTTTTTGCTGTCAAAGTCTCAGCTTTAGGATTAGCAAAGGCTACTTTTTGCTTCTTCTGTTTCTTTGGGATAGTTGAAGATGACTTTAAACCAAGAATGCAACTAGCAAGGCTGTCTATGGCATTTGTATTAAGCTAGAAAAGAAATAGTCGTGTCAATAAAAACAAATCCTTTTAAATACATATACCAGTAAGCTCAAAAAACACTGTCTTCCTTGCAACAAGAAGAATGGTTTGTATATCAAATACGTTTTCTTCCTACCTTTCCATCTTCTTCCTCTGTAAGAATATCTAAACAAATAGAGTTGAAACCTTGCCAGAACCAGTCCAAGATAATTTCTGCCTCCTCGACAACCAACTCAGTGCCTGACAATGCTTCTTGTTTACACCTCACTGTAATAGTATCCCTGGTAACGTCATGGCTACTTGCAGCCATGGCAACATCAGCAGCTTTCTTGGGCCTTGCTGTTTCCATGGTGAGATCTTTATTTAAAAAGTTCAATAAATCACTGACGCCAAGGTACAGGTGCATTGTGGGTACCAGGGTGTCAGGTTGGAGTGAATTTCTCATAAGTGGAAGCAACTTGGAATGAAAGAAATAATTTTGAATTAGTTAAATGGTAATAGACATTCATGATTACAGCATAAATCAAACCAGACCCAATGATCCAATGTCTGATTTAAGCAAATATCCTTTAAGGCCTACCTAGTGTGATAGTGTACCTAGTGCAGTACAGTATCATAGTCTACCTAGTGCGATAGTGTACCTAGTGCAGT